TTTGCAATCTTCATTGACTGCTTTGTAACATAAATGTTTAATGATTTTAATTCTATAATATCCATAGGTCTCCTGCATTTAGTGAATAGGTATGCAAGATTTCTTTTTCTTCTTCTCATTTAATGTAGCTTCAATCTTCTCCTAATGTATAAATTTCCAATCCTCTCAGGAGTACAAATTTTATCTTTATAATTTCATCTCTCCTCCCTCGGCTCCTTATCCACCTCTTCCCTTCCATTCCAGCCTACACAAGTGTGAGCCCTGCTTGTCCTTTTTCTTTGTCCTTACTCATCTCACCCATTGTCTCATGTTCATCACCCCTTCTGCCATTCCCTTCTACCTCCCTGGTTGTTCTCATGCTCTGTCTGCAGCATTTGACACTTTGCTGAAACACAGCTGACAACTAATCTCTCTGAGTTCATCCATAAAGAATCAAATATTATTTTAAGGAAAGGCAATCTCCATTTTACAAGGCCTATATTTTATTATCTATTATAATTTCATTGGAAAATCAAAGTTTATGTGAAATTTACTAGATGCTGCAGAATAATTTAATACTAACATTATCTTCAAAACTATATATATAAAAAATGTTATGGTTGTAGTACATTTTATTTAAATACAGCACACAGTAAATGTAATTATATTGCAATACAATTCCATCGGACTTTTAAAGGGGGAGTTGAATGATCATTTCACACTTTTTGTTTATATTTTTACTATTTTTACTCTTTGCATTACACAAGATCCTTTCTCCTTGGAATAATTCTGACTAATCTCATGCAGTCTGATCAATAGAGATTTTACTACTACTCTGTAGAGAGTGTATGAGGAAAAAATTGATTTCTATATTTGGCTAGTGTATAGCTATAGATATATTTTCCTCGTAGAAAGCTTAAGTGAAAGTTATTTCTTTAGTCACACATAAGGCTGAGGAAAAAGCAGAGATCTTTTAGTATGCCTTTTGATACGAGCAGCTCAGTGAGAGGCTCAGCACAGATGGTTTAAAGGGCTGTTGCAGGGGCTGAAATAGTCTCAGGACTTCCCAAAAGTCTTAATCTCTTTAGGGCAATGATAGCTTGTAATTTCTACAGCACTGAGCACACTGTGAGGAGCTGCTGCTGGCAGAACTTCCACACTTACTTCAGCCACTGGTGGAGGTCACAATTTTATAAGGTGCATAACGCAGGAATTGGAAGAGATCTTATGGAACAGTCACAAAGTTGCTATCTGTTTCTTGTAAGTTTATTTTCATCAGTAAATACAAGATAGACTCAGAACACCATTTTCCTGTTAAAACAGTGTTACACTGGCTGAATCACTATAAAATTAGGGAAATTAGATTTTTAAAATGTGATTAGCACTTATACGTACTAAAATAAATTTCATCTTTGCATCATCTATTGTAGTGTTAAATTTGTTTCACTGTTTTGAATAGTTCATGTATCTATTCCATATAGATATCAACTTACCTGTTTCACTTGAGTATGAAAGAAAAAGTGATGTGGAAAAAAGCTGAGTGGGCTTTGTTATTTGAATGCTAGGGAAAAACATATTCTGTCTTGTTCTCAGAACCTTTCAGTTATTACATTCTGAAAAATGCTAAAATAGGTGTCAGAAGCATTAATTTATAATACTTCTCACACCCCCAATTGGATCTAAGTTTAAATATGTTTTCATGAGACTAATGCAAGCTTAAGACACATTCAGTGAAGTTGTAGACAGTGATACATCTGAAATATCAACTGCAAACTTGAACCTGACTTTGAATCTCTTGAATAGCATCCAAACTGAAGATCATTTAAGGAACCTGATGGTACACAAGTCCATGGGACCCGATGAGGTGCATCCGCAGGTCCTGAGGGAACTAGCAGATGAAGTTGCTAAGCAACTGTCCATCATATTTGAGAAGTCATGGCAGTCTGGTGACGTTCTCACTAACTGGAAAAGGAGAAACATAACCCCCATTTTTAAAAAGGGAAAAAAGGAAGATACAGGGAACTACAGGCCAGTCAGTCTCACATCTGTGCCCAGATGTGCAGGAGGAGCAGATCCTCCTAGAAATTATGCTAAGACACAGGGGGAAAAAAAGGAGGTGATAGGTGACAGCCAACATGGCTTCACTAAGGGCAAATCATGCCTGTCAAATTTGGTGACCTTCTATGATGGAGTTACAGAGTTGATGGATAAGGGAAGAGCAATTGACATCATCTACCTTGACTTGGGCAAAGCATTTGATACTGTCCAACAGGACATCCTTGTCTCTAAACTGGAGAAACATAGATTTGATGGATGGACCACTCCACCAAGGAATTGGCTGGATGGTCACACTCAAAGAGTTGTGGTCAAAGGCTCGATGTTCAAGTGGAGGCCAGTGATGATTTGCATTCCTCAGGGGCTAGTACCAGGGCCAGTGCTGTTTAACATCTTTGTCAGCGACATGAACAGTGGGATCGAGTGCATCCTCAGCAAGTTTGTTGATTACACCAAACCATGTGGTGTGGTTGACATGCTGAAGGGAAGGGGATTACCATCCACAGGGACCTCGACAGGCTTGAGGAGTGGGCCTTTATGAACCTCATGAAATTCAACAAGGCCAAGTGCAAGGTCCTCCACATAGGTCGGGGCAATCCCAAGCACAAGTACAGGCTGGGTGGAGAATGGATTGAGAGCAGCCCTGAGAAGAAAGACTTGGGAGTGTTGGTTGATGAGAAGCTCAACATGCACCAGCAACGTGCACTGGCAGCCCAGAAAGCCAACCATATCCTGGGCTGCATCAAAAGAAGTGTGGCCAGCAGGTTGAGGAAGGTGATTCTGCCCCTCTACTCTGCTCTCGTGAGACCCCACCTGGAATACTGCGTTCAGCTCTGGAGTCCCCAACACAAGAAGGACATGGAGCTGCTGAAGAGGGTCCAGAGGAGGGCCATGAAGATGATCCGAGGGCTAGAACACCTCTCCTATGCATACAGGCTGAGAGAGTTGGGGCCATTCAGCCTGGAGAAGAGAAGGCTCCGGGGTGATCTTATTGCAGCCTTCCAGTACCTAAAGGGGGCCTACAGGAAAGCTGGAGAGGGACTTTTCACAAGGGCATGTAGTGACAGGACAAGGGGCAATGGCTTTAAATTGAAAGAGGGGAGATTTTGATTAGATAAAAGGAAGAAATTTTTTACATTGAAGGTGGTGAGGCAGTGGAACAGGTTGCCCAGAGAAGTTGTAGATGTCCTATCCCTGGAAGTGTTCAAGGCCAGGTTGGATGAGTCTTTGGGCAACCTGGTGTAGTGGTTTCCCTGCCCATGGCAGGGGGGATTGGAACTAGTTGATCTTTGAGGTCCCTTCCAACTCTAACCATTCCATGATTCTATGACTTTTTACAAGGGTGTGTAGTGATAGGACAAGGGGCAATGGCTCTAAAGTGAAAGAAGGTAGATTTTGATTTGATCTAAGGAAGAAATTCTTCACTCTGAGAGTGATGAGGCACTGGAAATGTTACCCAAAGAAGCTGTGGATGCCCCATCACTGGAAGTGTTCAAGGGCAGGTTGGATGAGGCTTTGAGCAACCTGATCTAGTGGAAGGTGTCCCTGCCCATGGCTGGGGATTTGAAACTAGATGATCTTGAAGATCCTTTCCAACCCAAACCATTCTATGATTCTATGAGATTTTAATGGTTTTTTTGAGCTTTGTTATTGTATTGTACATGTAAAGCGTTTATGGAGAGTTGTCTCTTGAGTGAGGATCAAAAGTGTGATCCTAAAGAAATGTTATAATTAAATATTTCTTTTCAAAACAATAAAAGTATTAATATTTGTGTCTTGAGAAACATCCAGTTTGCGTAGTTGTTTGGTGGATGTCAAATATCATCTTGCAGATCTTAATGGTTCTCTGGCTTATTTTTTGTTCTACTTTATTATAAGCTGTTGCTGTCTCAACCTGGACAATAAGCCTGGAACTTACTAACATCTTAAACCTGTATATTACCATTTTCTAAAGAGTTACAGAACTCCTACTTTTTTATATAGATAAACTGGAAGCTTCCTGTGGCTAGTTTTTTAGAGAAGTCCAAGTAGGAAGCATTGAAACATGTTGATCCAAGGCAATGGTCATTAAGAATGTTTCCAAGTTTAAGCAAAGCACTTAGAGCAGAGAAGTGCTTTCAAACATCTTTTTATAAACCCTAGTCATGAGAGAATATTCAGGAAGCAGAGTCTTCCTGAGCCACTGTTGAGCTTCTAGACAGTGCTGGGCAGGACAACCACACAACAATCCGGGCAATCTTCTTTGTAATAAATTGAGCCTTCTAGAGCTCTGAATGTTACACTGTAAGCCATCCTTCCATTTCTTGGGCTTTGTGCCTGTCAAATAATGTTTTTAAAGCCCCATTATAGAAGAACACCAGATGGTCTAATCCTATTACTTTCATAAAAACATGTTGCTGGTTTGAAGTTAGGGATCTCTCTTGATGACTTTATTATTCTGTGTCAGACATTTTGTCCATTGGAGAATAAGTGGGAAAATAATAATGAGGAGAAGATAGCACAGATTGACATTGCAGCTTGAGGACTACTTCTACATATGGAAACATTTATTGAAGATTGTGGCAAAATATCTTTTCTATAACCTAAGTGCTGGATACAATGTGTTACTCAGGAAATGTGTCAGATTCTTATTTCCTTTCTCTTTTTTACTTTGCCACAGAGGAAAAAAGTAAAATCAAAATTAACTGACTTTTAAATTATTCTGACAAACTGTGCTGTCTTACCTATGCAGATCCATTTTTACATTTTATTAAATTAAATGTCCCAGTGTTTCTTATATCAATGGTATTTTATTCCAAAGTTCACTTCTGTCCTCAGCTTCAGCTGTCATAATAGCACATCAGCACTTAAGCTGACTCCAGTGTAAAAAACTTTGAAGCTTAGTGAGTCTGATTATCTCACTCTGAAATTTCAGACTTAGCTTTAAATATTTATGCGGGTAAATAATTCTTGCTCTTCCTATACAGGATTGACATCTTCAAGTACGTGATATATGGTGTAGCAGCTGCATTCTTTGTATATGGCATTTTGCTGATGGTGGAGGGATTCTTTACAACTGGTGCCATCAAGGATCTCTATGGGGATTTCAAAATCACCACTTGTGGCAGATGTGTCAGTGCCTGGGTAAGTGGTTAAGAATTGTACTTACAACAATTTCAATGTTATGTATATTTGTTGTGCATTGTGATGTTTATTTTCTTGTTCTTTTGTTGTTTCTTTAATATTTTCTAATACTTCAGTTTAGTGGTTAAAAATCATAGCGAAGGAGAATAGAGTGTTAGAAATGTTCTCTATATTGGTTAATCACTCAGTAACTCTTGCTACTTGGAGCAATTAATTCCACCAGTTGAATGGGAAAGCTTATTCTCTCAGCAACATAAGCTGTTTGGGACAGGACTAGAGGTGTGTAATGCCTTCAGCTGTATTGGGCAAGAAATACTTTTCTTACTGTTATTTTCCCTGTTGTTTTAGAAATCTTGCCAGTTCCTCTTTTGGACAAGCTGAGACCTGTCATCAGGTTTTGTTTTGTTTTTAAATGGCAAACAGCCCATTATTTGCTCCTATGTTATCTCTGGTTTGGAGATACCATTCATTAGGACCCTGGAAAACCTAGATTCAAAAAGTTCTGATTTCTACTGGAACTTAAAAGGGCATTTATTATACTAAAATATCTGACTTTTTGAACTGGGATTATTTTAAGTTCTCTATTCAATGTTAGGTAAGTAACTAACTTTTTTTTTTTTTGGTATTTGGCTCTGCTGCATCTAAGGTAAGAGGCCTGGACACTTGGTGGCTGCTGGAGTTGAGTATTTCTGCAAACACCATCAGTATCAACAAATTACATTTTCTGATGAAAAATAAAAGATTAAATACAGCCAGGTAGATCTTGATGTTAAGGTACACTTAATGTTATACTATATTTACAATAACTGATATATAAAACAATAGCCAAAGGAAGGTTTCCCATTGTACCCTCCTACAAATGTCAACATTTGTTAAGCTGGAATACAGACTAGGAACAAATATCAGCAGTAGAGAGAATCTTCCAATTACATTTAAGACTTCGGATATCCTGACATTTAAGGTTAAGTTCAACACAGATAATCTACACATTGGAAATTCGGGAATATGGCGTGTATGCCATCCCAACATAGATGTAACATGCTCCACAGTAATGCTACTTTTTAGTCTTATTTTCTGTTGTTCCTGTCAAATGACATTGTATGATTTTTGCACTTTGACTAAGAATTGTTTTAAAGCCTTAAAATAAATATATAAATAAAGACTGGGAACATTTTAAATAAAGAACAATCATTGCTTATACAAACAGTGCTTTCATCTCCTGGGAAGAAATCTCTAATCCATATTCACTGAGAACCTGCTAAGCTAGTTCAAATTCTGTACAGAGTAGCAAATTTTTCAGAACATTATTTTTTTCTTCACAGCTTACACATATGCCTGCCCTCAATATTGCAGCAGAGCAACGCTGCGTCCTCTCACAGTTTTGATGCCCTTACAGTGTAAACTGTAAGTCTGTAGTACATATCTAGAAGAAATGAACAGTTAGGCATCTATTCCACGGTTAATATCACTGTCATTATTAATGATTCATTAAATTAATTCCTTCAAAATTTGACTTTCCTCATCAGTAATTTGTAATCTTTGTATTTTACTTTAAGAAACCTTGTGTTGATAATACATTGTGCAGCTAAGGTTAAGGCTGTACACTGTTTATGATCACAATTCAAATAAACTGTCAATTATTTTGAGTTAAATACATTGCTGTTATTATTCTTGAAGTTAGTGGAACCTTTTTATTTTCCCTGGGGAAAAAAAAAGAATAATCTGCAGGTTGATTCCTTGTCTTATTCCGATGATATATTAGTAAGATTGCTATACAAATGTCTGGAGCTATTTTGGATTATTATTCTGGCTTTTTCTTCTGTGTTTGAGAGTAAGATAGTATATGCAGCATTTTTGTTAATTAAAACATGAGACTCTTTTTGACTAGATTTATTTCGATTATCTCATATTCAAAATTCTTAGGGGACAAAGAATAGTTTACATTTAAAGAAAAATTTTAGAATTAGAAAATATTTCAGTCCTGAAATGATACGTTTATAGTTTATTTTGTTCCCTACATCATGCAATGATATGAAGAAATAAATTCTAAGAACAACAAAAAGATGACTGGAGAGGTAAATAGAACCTAATCAGTACTTTCGTGTGTCAAGCCCTGAGTGTTCTAGTGCTATGCAAATTTGCTGTATGAAATTTTATGTGCAATTACTAAAATGAGAGAACACTGTTAAAGAGGAGTAGATGATACTACATGTTGCAAGAAATCTTCCCTGTATAAAATTTTGAGATATTAATTTTGTAGATATTAAAATCTAAGCTGCCAAAGACTAAACAGTTGGTTTCTTTTAGCAAAACCTTAATACTAAGAGAAATGTACACATAAGATATTCGTTCTTTTTAAGAATTCAAATGACAAAAATGGCTCCACATCAAAAATACATTTTGTAAAAATCCAGTTGTTACTATGATTTCACATAAAATTTGCTGATGTTTTTCTAAATATCAGTTTAGTGTGTTACAGTTCGAAAATGAAGTCTTTCTGCTAATAGGAAAATGGAGGAAAAAAAATCAGCAAAAACTTTCCAGGAGGAAAAGCTCATTTTAACTTTGTATGGTCAAGCTATATTTCTCATTGGAAATCTGAAAAGTAAATTTTTTTTTTCTTTTTTATCAAAATATTCTTTGAAAAGCAGGCTTTTTAAAAGCTGGCATCTACAGAAACTTTTCATGTGCCCTTCCTGACCTCCCTCCTTCACTGTGACTCGCTCACTTTCTCGCTCTATGTGGGCAAAAGGAATTTTTTTCCACTGAAGTAATAGAAAAAGAAATAGCCCAACCTAACCTTTCCAGTGATTGTATAGTTGATTAATCAGCCTATATGAGCATTCAGAGGCTTAGCATCCAAGTCATGATGGTGCTGTTGTGGAGTGTACACTCTCAGATCTGAGAGAGGGCCTGGGAAAACGACAGTGAAGAGTTCCGTTGGCAGGGTTTTCAGAATTAATTTACTGAGGAAAAAAAAAAAACAAAACCAGAATAATAATGCCAGGAGAGAGGAGAGATGGCTGTGGTTTTAGTTTTCATTTTTCAATGCCTGAACATGCTTTTAGAGAATTAAATAAACAGTTATATCTAATTGTGCTGCAGCATGATTAGTGAAGAAGGTGAGACAGGTCTGAAGCCAATTGTGACACTGTTTGTATATCTGTGATTTAAAACCCTTCCTATTTATATTCAGCTTGCTTGATCATGGAAAGCCTCGTTTATACCTTGTTTTAGAATGTCTGCTTACAGTGGCACTAAAAATGAACAAAGAAACAGAAATGAGGCTTTTTTTCCTTGAAAAGTGTTACTCATTAAAAATTTATGCTATGAAATGGGAAAGCAGTTCTTTTTATTTCATCAGAAAACGTTGGATAAAGATTTCATCCTAGAAGTTGTATTTCTATTTCTTTGTATTTCACCTTTTAAAAGATACATGGTCAGGTTCTAGAGAAAGCTGTTTTATATTCTAAGTTGCATTAATATATCTTCTGTATCTTTATTATTTAGGAACCTTTAATTGTAATGAGTGAAAGGGATTTTTCTGCCTTTGATGATTATTTTGGCTATCTTAATACCTATGTACTATTCAACCCATGCTTCTCGTGTGCTTAAACTAAAACTTGAAGTTTTCAAAATATTTCCAGATTTTATTTTGCAAGAAAAACCACGGAAGCTTTACAAATGTTTTTAAAAACCATCTGTAAGGCATGTGAACTTGTCACTTCATCTTGTCCTTACCAGATCAGTTGTTCCAGAGGCAGTGAAACTGCATCGTATTGACATTTGATTCTTTGTGTACCAAGAGGAACAGTGTTCAGTGCAGGCTTAGCTGGCTTTCCCACCCAGAACAGATGCATCATTTCTGAACACTATGAATGAAGATCTCATGGCTGAAAATCAGATACCATATCTGGATATTCTGGTAGCAAAATGCTGAGCTGACAGAGAGAGGCCTTCCTTCTGATTGAATACTGCTGTGTCTGAGGAATGCAGAGTGCTTCATACCACTGGTTCTTATTTTATGAGA